TATTCATGGCATCTCCATTTATAACATCCGGTGTTATTATTGCATTATTACCAATCATATCTCATAGATTTTTCAGATAGGACTCCAAATAAGTTTTTTAGATCTTATAATTAGATTAATTGAGAAGTTCAATACTAAACCCACCAACTCCACTGTTATGATCTATAAAAAAATATATATTCTTCACAAGAAAATATTAAAATACAGATTACTATGACTTTGATACCATAGAAGAAAGAAAGGGATCACATGTAAATGTAACGCTTTCTTAAATAGTAGTAACAAAGTATTACTAGCCCAAGACCAAACTAAATAAAAGAAAAAAAATCAAGGCGAAAGTAAAAAAAAAATATTATACTTCTCAAAAAGAAAAATACTTACGAGATCTTGAACTACATTTTTTATTCGAGCCATATAAGCCTATCTAATAATAATTGAACTTAAAATTTTAAGTTAAAATTTTTAACATTCTATCTAACATTTTTTTATCTAAAATTTAAGTTAAAAAATTTAACTTAAATTACAGAAATTTTTAACTTAAAATTGTTAACTTAAATTTTAACATTCTATCTAACATTCTATCTAAAATTACAGAATAATAATTTAACTTTGCTGAGGGTTGCTGAGCTTTCCAGCAAACGTAGAACTGCCACCATTTGGCCCTTCAACTAGTGTTCTTCCGGCTGCGCGCTGTGCAACTACAGTTTGTCTGTAGATTAGAGCCTCATGTCCCGCTAATTGCATGCAGTTTGTCTGTAGATTGTCCCGTGAATTGCACGCAGCTTGAGCATGTGACAAACTTGTTGGTGAACAGATGTGTCGTGGCTGGTGAGTCAGTATGGCTAGGTCCACGGGTCGATGTCGGGAGTTCTCTGTCGGCTAAGCTGGATACCAAGGTAGGTCGGGCCTTCGTGACGGGGTGTTGGTTAGCGTTTCTTGGTCCGAGCACTATCTGCATCGAGCTGTATCTCTCCGTTCCCGGGATAGGTGACAGCTCACCCTCGTTCACTGGATGGCGATTTCCGGGTCGAGGCGCTCGTGGCTCCGGGTGACCGCTTTCCTACAAAAAGAAGGTCTTCGTCGGGTGATTCCCGACTGTGGGCCCTCCGATGAGCAAATCAATTATTGGTGGAATTGTTTTCCCTCCTGGGTCGGATGCCGGCCAGAGGTCTTTATACTATTGTTCGAGGGTCGGTCGTACATGGGTTGGCGTGGTGGACATGTCAAACAATGCATTGGTATGGATTCTGAGTTATCGTATCTTGGGGGCGGTGCCGTCTCGGGATTCCCGAGACGTGCTAAGCAACGACTTGGTATGGATTCTGACTTGGCGTGTGACACCGGGTGTGGCATGTCTTGGACCCAAAATAGGCCTTATCACTTCTCCCCCTCCCCCCACCCCCTCCCCCCCCCCGACATGGCATGCCGTGGGGTCTTGAAAGGGCCGAGAGGGGTGCCGAGGTCGGAGTGGTGTGACCACATCAATTGCTCGTGAATGGGATCTAGGATGACGAGTTACAAGTCGTGGATCGCGATGGAGCGAGTCGCAAGTCGTAAGTTGGGGATCGTCGTGGAGTGACTCGGACAACGGACTAGGCCGGCGAGGTGTGGCTCGAAAGTTGGATCGATTGAGATGCGACTCGGGCATTAGATTGGCCTCGAGGCGTGGCTCGAGCATTGGGTCGACCGAGATGCGACTCAGGCATTAGATTGGCCGCGAGGCGTGGCTCGGGCGTTGGATCGACCGAGATGTAACTCGGGCATTAGATTGGCCGCGAGGCGTGACTCGGGCGTTGGATCGACCGAGATACAACTCGGGCATTAGATTGGCCGCGAGGCGTGGCTCGGGCATTAGATCAGTCGAGATGCGACTCGGGAATTAGATTGGCCGCGAGACGTGGCTCGGGCGTTGGATCGGCCGAGATGCGACTCGGGCATTAGATTGGCCGCGAGACGCGGCTCAAACGTTGGGTCGGCCGAGATGCGACTCGGGCATTAGATTGGCCACGAGGCATGGCTCGGTCTGAAGGTTGGCCCTGCGGGCCGAGTGACTGAGTCTGGGCTCAAGTTTCGATGTTGGCGGGTCACAAGTCGGGAGCGATTTGGAGCGACCTGGGCAGGAGTTGGACCGACGAGCCGTAAGTCGAGAACCGATCTAGAGCGGCTAGGGCAAGAGTTGTGCCAGCGGGCCGCAAGTCGGGAGCCGATCTAGAATGACCAAGGCAGGAGTTGGGCCAGCGAACCGCAAGTCGGGAACCGATCTGGAGCGGCTCGGGCAAGAGCTGTGCCAACGGGTCGCAAGTCGAAAGCCGATCCATAGCGACTCGGGCAAGAGTTGGGCGGCGAGCCGCCAGCTCCCGTTTCCAACTTGATCTACCAAATTCCTAGCCACGATTTCGAAGAAGGACACATCTGTACTTGCATAATCCTATTTCGTCTGTGCTAACACTTGTAGGAATTTACACTAAACAGTGGCAAACACTGAGAAGGCACAAATTTACTGTTATTTACCGTCATTTATCGACAGCCTCCGGTGACGTTTTGGACAAGTCGCTGTTCATCATGGGGGAGATGGGGATGAACGACTACAATTCTGTGTTGGTCGACGACAAACCCATCGAGTCCGCACGGGCCCTCGTCGCCCCTGTTGCGTGCGCGATCGGTGCGGCCATCGACGTAAGCCAGCTGCAACCTCGCCCTGCCGTCGATTTGATTCCCATTGTCGACTCCTCCATCACTGACCAACTCATGTTGACTGATCTCCAGCCGCTGGTTCGGGCCGGGGCAAAGACCGTATTCGTTTCCGGCATCTTCCCAATGGGGTGCATCGCTCTGTTCCTCACCAAGTTCGAGACTCAGAACGCCGCGCCGAACGATCCAGAAACGGATTGCCTCAAGTGGCTAAACGAGTTCTCGCAGCACCACAACCTACTGCTGCGGCGCGAGCTCCGTCGACTTCGGCGAGCCCACCCACACTCCACCATCATCTACGATGACATTTACCGAGCTCTGATGGCCATCTACATGTCTCCAAGCCAATTCGGTGAACCCCAAACTGCTGCTGCCTCTCGTGACTACGAGTTCATCTCATCATGGCTTAGCGAATGAAATGCGGGTGCAGGGACGACGTCGACTCTGGTGGCGTGCTGTGGAGTTGAGGTACCCTACTACTACAATTCCTCCGTGAGGTGCAGCGATCCATGGAGCTACGTTCGTTGGGATGGGGGGCACCTCACGTAGGCAGCCTACCAAATCATTGCCCATGGCGTCTTGGACGGATCATAAGCTGAGGTCAGCCTTGAAGTAGTCCATCTTATGGTTATTCCGCGGATCGTCGGACTTTGGTTTGAGGTTGTGACATTATTCTTCTTACAAATGTTGATGAATAGTAGTAAGTCATACAAAATAAGGCATCCGAAATGATCATATTCACATTGTAAAAGATGAACTAAGTAGATAAGTATAGTGACCCATAGAGCATAATGTGTATGTGTTATAAGACAAGGGAGATGAATGGTATTGCTCGATTAATATGATACATGTGGCATTCATCTCCGATCTTGTCGGTCTCCATGAGAGAACTATAGAAAGAGGAATGTTGTTGGAGACTACTACATGATGGGATTCTTATCCATGGGTATTAAGCTAAAGCTTGAAATATTAGATTTTGAAGATCACACTAGATCGACATAATTCAACATATATTTAATTATAAAATAATATTAAGTAAATTGAAGGGTAAAGGAGGTGACAATAAAATGACATAATTCTGTATTACTTTTATTGGGGAGGGAGAAGAAACTTGAAACCAAAAGAAATTAAGAGATCAATAACTAAATAACATATCAAAATATATAACGTAGTTTAATAATTTCTTATCTATGGAGAAAGTCAAATTCTTTACTATTATATGTACTTAAGCACAAAGGGTCTTCTTGTATATTTATCCATATAAACCGAAAGAACTCTTCTCTTAATCTTTTCTAGATTTATAGGATTGAAACTCTTTAGAGCATCCAAAGAAAATATTTATCGATCCTAACAATTATAGAGGAAAAAATTAAGAATAAAATGAAAAATATAATGATACCCAAAGGTAATATTTCTAATGAAAGTCACTTTATATATATATATATATATATACACACACGAAAGGTTGGTTAAATTGGCTTATAATGATAGAGTACTATAGTACAATTGGGGTCTAGATTTAAGCATTTTGATCAATTATATCCTATCAACTCAAATCATCACAAATGATTTATATGGATAGGGTAAATTTACTATTATCAGCTAAATCACTTATATTATTATAGATGATAACATTCATATTTATGACATATGGGATGTACATATCCGTGACATCATATTTCTTATGAATAAATTCAATGTGATAAGAGTAAAATCATTCAGGTAATTTTCTTCTCAATTAAAAATTTATAATGTGAACCTCCATAAAATATATTAAAAAAATACTCCTTATAGACCCTTAAGTATCGCATCTAAAATATAAAAAGATAATGATGAATTCCCCAAAAAAATCTATCATATTTGAAATTTCCTATAAATCATCCCTGCATTAAAGAATTTTGAAATAATATATATATTTTTAAATGGATCATTTATCCTTTGTTAATTGTACTATTCGTCTCACACAACGAAAGGAAATTATGGACAATGATTAACCCTCAAAATAAGAGAAGACTACGATGAGTCTGATAAAATAAAATAAAATAATTTTTTAATAGGATCAAGTACTATTTTAAAAAAAAATTAAAGTAATAATACTGTTCTGCAAAAAAAATTAAAAATAATTTTTTTAAGAATTCGCTCAAAAGGTAAACATCCTATAACAATATAAAAAAGAGTGATCGTGGCATTCAGTGTAACAACCCCTGCGATTTAATCATCGATCCGTTACGTTGAATGAGAGACAGACCATGTGTTTTCGCATCACAGGTTGCAGTGCTGCCTTTGTAATAATTGCAAGGCAGACTCATAATTAAGCTACTGTAGGCCTCCTAATTATTTGGGCACCGAGACGCGTTGCCCTCCCACCCATCCATCCATCCATGGCATCATCGTCCTTCCCCCTCCATCTCATCCTCCTCGCCATCAATCTCCTCCTGCTGCCGAGCGTCGTCACCCCATCCACTGCCCGCTACTCCGCCATCTTTAGCTTCGGCGACTCGCTCGCCGACACCGGAAACTTGGCCTTCTTCTCCGGCGGCAAGGATCAGGCTAACCGGCCTCCCTACGGCGAGACCTACTTCCATCGACCTAACGGCCGCTATTCCGATGGCCGAATCATCCTAGACTTCATCGGTATGCATATTGCCCTCTCTCGCTCTCTCACACATCTCTCTTTCCTCTTTCTGCTCCATATAAAACACTAGGATTGAGAAGCAGAACTTATAGCTAACATATGGTGGGCATACCTGGTGTTGTAGCACAAACCACGGGGCTGCCTCTGGTGCGGCCATATCCTGCAGGGCGCGGCAGCGAGGGATTCGTCTACGGGGCCAACTTTGCCGTGGCAGGAGCCTGCGCGCTCAGCAACGCCTTCTACGAGGCCGAGGGATTCAACGTCACATGGGAGGATTACTCCTTGGGCACGCAGCTCAAGTGGTTCGAGCAACTGCTGTCGTCTCCCTCTGTTCTTGGTATGTGCTCTTTCCCCTACCTCTGTCCCGTATGCTCGTTTGTTGAATCACCAGCTCCCGATTCGAACTTGATATACCAGAGTCGTAGCCACGATTTGGAAGAAGGACACAGAAGCGAATCGATTAAGTAACATCTGTGTCTGGGTAATCCTAGTTCGTGGCGGTGCTAACACTCGTCGGAGTTTCCACTCGACCGGTGGCAAACACCGACGACTTCATTTTTTATTGATCATTAATTTAATTCAAACTTTAATGGATCTTATACAAAGTTATTGTGCCACGTCATATTAAGTATCTTTTTGAGCGTTAATAAATCGGTGCCTCTTTGTCTCTGTAATCCATTTGTGGCGAGAGCCCCGAATGACGCTCTGAGCAAGTCGCTGTTCATCATGGGGGAGATTGGGGCGAACGACTACAGTTCTGTTTTGGTCGGCGACAACCCCATGGAGTCCGCTCAAGCCCTCGTCGCCCCTGTCGCGCGCGCAATCGGTGCGGCCATCGACGTAAGCCGGCTTCAACCTCGCCCTGCCGGTGATTTGCTTCCGCACGGTCTACTCCTCCGTCGCTGACAAACTCACGTTGACTGATCTCCAGGCGCTGGTTCGGACCGGGGCGAAGACGGTGTTGGTTTCCGGGGTCTTCCCACTGGGGTGCGTCCCTCTGTTCCTCACCAGGTTCCGGACTCGGAACGCCGAGGCGTACGATCCAGCGACGGGTTGCCTCAAGTGGCTGAACGAGTTATCGCAGAATCACAACCTGCTGCTGCAGCGCGAGCTCCGTCGACTTCGGCGAGCCCACCCACACTCCACCATCATCTACGCTGACATTTATGGAGCTATGATGGCCATCTACACATCTCCAAGCCAATTCGGTGAGCTACTGCGTCTTGTCTTGTCTTGTGACGACGGATACATGGCATTACCTAGCGAATGAAACGGGTGCAGGGATGAGGTCGACTCTGGAGGCCTGCTGTGGGGGCGAGGGGCCCTACGACTACAATTCCTCCGTGACCTGCGGTGATCCGACGTCGACGTTGTGCAGCGATCCATGGAGCTACGTTTCTTGGGACGGGCTGCACCTCACCGAGGCAGCCTACCAAATTATTGCCAATGGCGCGGGTATAGTGGCCGGACCAAACGCACAAGTCTCCCACTACGCAAACGTTGATCAAATGTAAGCAGTATAGATTTAAAGAAACCAAGTAGATCAAATTAAATGATGAAATATAGAATAGTTTTTGGTGAAATAATTTCCAATATGCGAGGGGAAATAGATAGTTTCCAAAGACGATTCCAATTATTCCAACTTCGATCAAGAAGAGATGAATCTTGCTCAATCAAGTATACTTATTTATAGCCTGACCAAGGTCTGCCATACCGAACCGTACCGCCCGATACGGGCGGTACATATCGATCCGATAGGTTATCGGTACGCGGACCGCCTGTTACCGGTATCGTACCAGTACCGAGCCCAAGTCGAAATACCAATACGGTACAGTATTGCGAACCTTGGCCTGACCCATACATCATCACAAGACAAATGATCAACTTCTATAAAATCAGTAGATTGAACCAATGAGAGACCACAATAACACCAAACTTACTACTAAACATTAGTATCTCACAAAAGCCATATAGGATAATCAACAATCACAAAGGCGCTGTTCCAAGCAACCTAAAAAAAAAAAACAATAAGACCCATGATTTGCCAACATCAATGAGTTATATGATCATAGATCAGACAGTACAAAACATTTGAGAAGATATTGCTGACGAGAATGTCAAGTAAGAATTTTACTAATTATGAGAACTTAATCATCCAATTAGTATCCACTAGTATCATACACTAACACATTCTTCTTATTGTTTCCTTTTCATAGTTACGTTTCTGGAACCACATGATAGTTATAGAAGAAAAACTGAAACAAGTGAAATGAAACCTAAAAATCGATGCTACACAAGTATGGGTTCTTTGTCCAATAATAGAAGCAATCATCTTTGGGGCTGGTCCGCAGCAGGATTGCTTGTAGTTGATAATGTCTGCATCCTGCGAACATGTACCCCATTATCAACAGGTGTGGGAGCCCCCCACCTTCCTTCGGACTTTGATGGCTCTATTACTTTTACTGCTCCGTCTGTCAAACCAACTGCAAATTGATTTGGCTCTTGCGGATGGGCCGCAATCACAAGAGGATATGTTGGGTTGCTGAAAAATGAAAATGAATGTTGATCAGCAGGTGAATCCACAATTCTAACGATGCTCTGACTAAAACTGTAAACATAGCAATGTTTGAAGAATGGTCATTGTAAATTAACAAATGTAAGCAACTATCACTAGATAACTTCATTCAAGAAACTGATAAAATTCCACTGTTACATAGGATCACGATACTACAAAGAAACACAGTTTACCTGCTTGCAGCAGCAGGTGACGTGTATGCGGACGGGGCAATTCGGCATCTTAATCTCAAGTTGTCAGCATCGAAGACACCAATATTACCATCACAAAAGGAAGCATAAACAAGTTCGCTGAAACATGAATATGAAGCATACGATATAGGAGCAGGTAAGGCATCTTGAGGAACCCACTGCAAAGAAGAAAGCATCCAATATGAGTGACATCCAAAATATATCATGATGAAACAATTCTCCGAACAATAGACACCTGATGGATACGCTCAATTTTCAAGGTGTCATATATAGCTAGCTGTGTTTCGTGGACAACTAACAAGCGGCTTTGATCAGAATTAAACTGGACTCGGGTGTCACCAACTGACTTCGTCCCTTCAGGCAGTTGAATAGCTACAGATTTCTTCTTCTCCCAAGTCTCAGTACTCCATATGTAGAGCTGAAACATAAATATCAAATTTCAAATCCAACAGCAGAACTAGAAATTGCAAATAAAAATCAATTATGACAGACTATCTAGACGTCCTCTGCAATGACAAGGAACATCCAATTCCTACAGCTCAAAGTTTTAAGCAAAAAATAGCAAATTGAAATTACAATAAAACATGTTCCATGATTCATAACATAAAAGTGTAACCTAAAAGGTCCTTTCTTTCCATGCAATGACCAAAGCTCCAGAAAACCATAAAGCAAAAATTTCTGCCTTCCATCTGCTAAATATGATCTAGTTGTTTTATCTGCTTGGGGCATATCTTTATCGTATATTACCATAAATACGTTTGTTTCTGCAAATATTGCAACCAAAAACAAACAGGACATGAACCATAACCCTAGTAGAAAATAGAAGGAACTATCCAAGACATTCTATACTTCAAGCAACTTGAGGTATTCTCAAACCTGACAATTTCTGTGTGTATGCATAGCAAATCCCCTATTTTAAGCACTATAGATGCCCATAAACACACCTACACACATTTATCTTCACAGAAGAATATGCTTTTTGTATTATGCTAAAGAACATACTCTAACTATGGAATTACATATTCATATAATTATTCTAGTTATAACATGCAGGAAAAACTGAAGTTGATAGATGACTATGATTTGAGTATTTAGAACAGAAAACATAAACCAATGACCAATTTTCTTACTGACCTGTGCATCAGCTCCAGAAGATACAAGTATATTAAGATTGTTGGAAAATGCCAGCCCACTTATGCGCTTCTGGTGACCTTTCAATTTTGTTTGGACCTGACAAATACACAAAGTTAGCATAAGCTAATCGAAAGAAGAAGCTCAATTCAGAAGAGTTATTACCTCATCCACCTTAACATTGTATATGTGGATGGTTGAATCTTCCATTCCAATTGCTATAATGTTGTTGTCCTGTGGGTGGAATGCTAAGAATGTCGAAGCAGGTGGGGGTGACATGAAAGTTGTCATTACCTACAAGAATATGTAGGCATATACCTTAGATATACTTGGTGCTAACAACCACAGCTTTGGATTAGACATTGACACCTTACCTTGAATGTCATCATGTTAAATAAGGAAACCTTCCCACCACATGCAGACATTACATACGAGTCATTCTTTGAGAGCGCAATACAAGGAACTGCCTCTTCTGGACTTGTATCCGATACATCATTGGTCATAAGAAGACCACTGTTTGGTTGCCAATGCTGCGGCACAACACTAGCCGTGGCCTTTTAACAGTAGATGAACTTAAGTACTTCCATGTAAGTAATCCAAAAATCCATAAAAGGTATAAATGCAAAAAACAACTACCTTGCCACTTGGATTCTGCTCATTGCGACTCCATTTCCACACCCTCTGAATAGCATTGGACCCCAGAGCTAATAAGCCAACACCAGAATTTGTATAAAGAAGCCTTGTGACCTGTAATTGCAATTAACAATTGTTAAAGCTTTGAGTTTCAAAAGTACAACTGTACCAGCATTAAAAAAACAAACAAGCTGAATGTGGTACCCACCTTGCTGGCAGAATCAGTCTCTGGCATGGTAGCAACTCGGCATTGTTGTGGATTAAAAACTTCGGCCAACTCCCATGACTTCATCTTATCTGGCAATTCTTCTGATATTCTTGGCTTATCTACATTTCTAGGAGTTATATCACCTCCATTCTGCAATAAAATTCACTAAAGTCATATAGGAACAGGCTCAACTGAAAGACCGATTGCATATCTAGGCAACATGTACATGCAATGGGAGTAACATATATTCCAATAGTCTAAAGACTTGTCCTTGGAGAGGAAACCAATAAGAGCATGCTGACTATAAAGCTAAGCCCTTAAAAGATAGTAGATGGGTTTTCCTTATTTGTCCTTGGAAAGGAACCAACAGGAGCTTGCTGACTATAAAGCTAAGCCCTTAAAAGATGTACGGGTTGTCCTTAGTTGCAATAGATATAAATGCATATACAAATAATTACTATAATAGATATATTAAGAAATCTGTATGTGCCTGTGGTTATTCTGTGACCAGTACATGCATAATACATATATATACATATAATTATATATAGACTTAGCAAATAAAAATTGGTGTCCAAATATTTCCAAAGCTAAATTGTCAAATAACATCACGATGGGGCAAACATATCCAAGGAAATGATAAGAAGCACAAGATTTTTCTTTTAACACTGAACATACAAGAACAGTAGATGGTTTCGCAGGAGAATTTCTGTCCAATGATTCAACATTACTGATGTTTGGTGAGATGCTTGCCACCACAGGAGAATTTGAGACCTGATAAAAATAATTATTCGTTAGAACCAACAAATATATCTCATTTTGGAAAAAGAATATCTCACCCTGATAGGAGTAGCTTCATGTTGAGCTCTAAATGGTTCAAAAGAGCGATTTCCAAAGGCTCGTAGTGCCGCAAGGCCATCTGCATTAGCTAATACTTTAAAGCCATTATCTACTGTTGCAACAGCAAGAAGATTTCCTTTCTTGTTGAATCTCAAATGTGGACGACTCTGAAATAATTGGTACGGCCATGTCAAAGAGTAGAATAACGTAATATCAGTTCATGTAGCACTACATACAAAACACTTACAGGAAGTCCACCATCAGCATCAGTACTTGCCAGCATGTTAATGCTGTCAACACTCCAAAATTTTATTTGGTTATCTTCACCAGCAGCCAAAAAATGATTCTGGGAAGTGTCAAACTGAACAACAACCGTGGACTTCTTCCGGAACCCAGAATATTGCCTCTTTATGGATCCCTCACTTTCATTCCACTCAACAAGAATACAGTCCCCATCTTTGCTAGTCCCACATGAGAAGAGTCTGCATTTCAAGAAAATAGATAGTTCATGGACAAGCCAACCAAAGTTTGAAGGAATGTAGCATCAAATAGAATAAATTAATGATATTACACATCTTACCGACTTCCATCGGCACTGTAAACCATTGTGGTAAACAAGTGCCCAGGGGTATTAAAGTCAACCATAGATCCCACGTTGTCATACAGCCAAGCCTTTATTTTTCCATCAACGGAAGTTGAGAAGATAAACTATGAAGCAGAACAGAAGATGTTATTACAACGCATTGAACTAGAGAAAACAATAGGTATAGTTTAGGTGAATGGCATGTCAGTTCAAGAGTTGACACAACGTATGTTTGTTATTCAATGCCAACTAATGTAAAAAAGTTCCATAATACATAAAGTTGATAAGGAAACAACAATATCAGTGGAACAAACTATATGGCTTTAGAGAAATAGCTGCCAGGTAAAAACAAGCAATCAACAAAGTACCTGAATATTCTCCTTGCGGTGGGGGCATATAGAATAGACAGGTGCTTCATGTCCTTC